AATTTTTATGGTATTATTTTTATGTGTACCGTCAAATCAGATCTGACTGGTACAGGAGGAGATTGCCCCTTCCTTCTCCAGCAGAGCATCTGGTGGATTTGAACTGCATACCTCTGGGATTGACGAAATAGTTTTGGGGAGAAGCCAGGGGGTTCTCTGTCCCTTCCACAGTTCACTTTACCTGTCGAGCAGGAGTCTCCAAGGATCACATGCACACTCAGAAGTGGCCATGTTGTCATTCCTTTGTAAAGAAATTCCCAGGTGGTGGCCACCTCCACCGTGGGGGAGACGCAGGGAGTCACCAACAACACCATGAGATCACTGTCACTGTGTGTAGAATGCAACTGAGGTTCCAGTGGGTATTCTGCCCAAGGTCATGGATAATGTAACAGAAACAGAATTGGGTCCAGTGGAGGCCAGAGGCTGAAGGAGACCCCTGCCATAATCATATGATCCCGGCCCCTCCTGAGTCCCTGCTCCCATCTCTTCTGGCACAGACACATCCCCGACAGAAAGCGCCAATCTCAACGCGCCCAACAGCCTGGGCGTCAGCGCCCTATGCGCCATCTGTGGGGACCGGGCCACGGGGAAGCACTACGGGGCCTCGAGCTGTGATGGCTGCAAGGGCTTCTTCCGGAGGAGCGTGAGAAAAAACCACATGTACTCGTGCAGGTGAGGAGTCTGGGGCCTTGATTTCTTCAGCTGGGAAATGGGGCACACTTGGGCTAATCTTCTTCCCAACTGGGGCCCAGAGGCATGTGTCCTTCCAGGCCTTTAAAGCTTCTCTCATTTCTTAGGCCTTGAGGACTGAGATGAGCACATCTGGTCGAGAAATCCCACTCACTTCTTGGGAGGAGTTGGCCTGTCTTTCTCCCTCAGTGAGGCTGGTGGATTCAAACTTCTCACCTTTGATTTGTCAGTGCAATTCCCTACCCACTAGGACGTCAGAGCTCCCAAAAAGTCATATTTCTTCTATTGTGCTGCTGTGTTGGAATCTACTCATAGCTGCCCCTACAGTGGGTTCTCGAAGGCTGTCAATCACATGGGAGGAGATTATCCATCTTTGTTCCATGGAATAACTAGTGGATTTGAACCACCAGCTTTTGGGTTGGCAGGGCAATTCCTTACCCACTAGGCTACCAGAGCTCTCTATAAAATTTTGATTGTTGTGTATCGCTGAGTCAGAACCAACCCATAGCTGACACTCCAGTGGGTTTTCAAAGGCAATAGTCTCACAGGAGGAGATTGCCCGTCTTCCTCCCACAGAGCAGCCAGGTGTACTCAAACTCTGTGTCTTCAGGATTGCAGTGCAACTTCTTACCACTAGACCACCAGAGCTCCCCATAAAGTTATTCACTTCCCTTGATAGAGCACTTGCTGAATGCCAGGCACCATACTTTCTTGGGAGCTCTGGTAGTGCTGGAGCTAAGGACTCAGCTGTGCACCAGAAGGTCAGCAGTTTAAGCCCATCCGCCGCTCGACAGGAGAAAGAGGTGGAGGTCAGCTTCTCCAGCCTTGGAAACCCTACATGGCAGTTCCACGCTACCCTGTGGGTCACCATGAGTCAGAAGCCACTCCCTGACCCAGTAGTGACAGCAATAGTAAACTAAGTCTTACACACATTGTTTTACTGGACCAGACTACTTATTCCCCAGTTAGCAAACAACGACCCACAAAGCTTAGGATCTAGACTCCTCTAAAGTTTCAGAGAGTGAAGCCATCCTTCAGCCTGGTACTTTTCTGGAATGAATAAGGGGTTGACTGCAGACTTTTCCACTTACCACTCCCCTTTTCACAAAGACTTTCCATTCAGGGTAATAGCAATAACAGAAATAATAGTGTTGTGTTTATGTGCTGTTGAGTTGACCACAACTCAAGTAATAATGCTGTTGTTGTGAGGTGCCATCGAGGATGACCCTACAAACAACAGATCTGAACCTTGTGCCGGCCTCACTTGAGCCCACTGCTGCAGTCACTGTGTCAGTCCAGCTCCTTGAGGGTCTTGCTCTCCTTTGCTGACCCTCCACCTATCTGAGCATGATGCCCCTTTCCATGTAATAATGCTTTTGTTGTTGTTGTTTACTGTTGAGTCAGAACCGACTCATAGCTGACCCTCCAGTGGGTTTTCATAGGCAGTAAATTGCATAGCAACAGCTAGGGGATTCGAACTGCATTCCTTTGGGTTGGCAGTACAACTCCTTACCACACTAATCCAGCAGTAGTTGTCAATTATGAGCACTTGCTAAGCACGTGATATGGATGATCCCACTTTTACTTGCCAACACCTCCCTGAGGTGATGAATTAATGTACTCATTTTTTAAAAATTATTTTTGTGCATGTGTACCATCAAATTAGATCTGACTGGTACAGGAGGAGATTGTGCCTCCTTCTCCAGCAGAGCATCTGGTGGATTCGAACCATGTACCTCTGGGATTGCAGTACAGCTTCTTGCCCCTAGGCCACCAGAGCTCCCTTAATGTACTCATTCTATAGATGAGGAAACTGTGGCTTAGTAAGGACTAGGAATTTGTCTAAGGTCACCAGGTTCGAAGCAGTGAACAGCCAGGGCAGACCCTCACTCAGGGCCTTACCCTGGTCTGTCACTCTGCTGGACTGTTTTTTCCTCCTTCAGGAGAGCAGTTCATGCAGGCAGCCTGCCATGAACATCAGGCATTCAGAGTCTCAGAAATGACAGTGGCTGGAACTCAGAACGCGAGGGGTCCCTGCTCAGCTCTGCCACTGACTCAGGGCCACGTGTAGCCTCTCTGGGCCTCAGTTTCTTCATATTTACCAAGGTGGAGTTGGACTGTTGTCCACAAGGCCTTTCCAACTCCTGGTCAGTTAGCAAGGGGGGTCCTGGCATGAGAGATTTGAGTAAACGGGCTGGGGGGTTGGGGGGGTCAACCAGATGGTCCATGGTCGTGGTTCTTTCCTGGGAGGAGAAGGCTGTCTCTTCTCCATCCAACCATCCAAAACCTTCTCCAGATTTAGCCGGCAGTGCGTGGTGGACAAGGACAAGAGGAACCAGTGCCGTTACTGCAGACTCAAGAAGTGCTTCCGGGCTGGCATGAAGAAGGAAGGTGAGCCCAGCTCTCCCTGCCCCGCTGCCCCACCCACACCCAGGGCTTTGAGAGTCATTTACGACTTTATGACTAGGTGACAGGCCCCAGGGTGACCGGCTCCTTAGCCCAGAAAGGACTTGCTAATAACCAGGGGAGGGAGGGCCCAGAAATCTGACCATAGGGAGGGACTGGGTTTGGTCTTGGGAAAGAGTCAGAGAGATAAGGGCCCACCCTCAGCAGCTCTGTAATTGCCGGCTGCCTGTCTCCACCACTGCAGGGCAGCCATACTGGGGGCGGGTGGGGGACGGCGGTCCAAGCCACTATTTCAGACATCACTCAGATCTCATAAATATCATCTATTGGAAGCTCTATTGCCAAGTTTCCTGTCCCAGAGCGTGTTATCCAATTCCTTGAATCCTCATCTGTATGTACCAGATGATCTCCAAAAGTCTTCCATGTTCTAGAAAAATGAAAAGAAGGCATCAGACTTGTCCTGAGTGAAGCAGGATGGGAAAACGGGAACATGATATTAAGGAAACTTTGCTCCCAGTAACTAACTACCAGTCGCTGAGCTGGGCATTCCTCACCTTTGGGGGCCCTTCGTGGTCCTGGTGTTCCTGTGTGGTTGGCACTATTACTGTCCCCTTCTTTTTATGGATGAAGGAAAGAGGTCTTGAAAGGTTTAGTAGCTTACCCAAGCCCTCACAGCTGGTCAACAGAAGACCTGAGGATTGAACCCTGAAAGCCTGGGGAGCAATTTCAGTGTTGTTTAGACAACTCTGCAGACCCCAGAAATATTGAAAAAATTGTTTTCAATCCAATCTCTTAGGACAAGACGGTTTGAACTCCTTCTCAAAGTCGTCTGCGTTCATTTCCTAATCTCTTTCTTTTCTTCTTCCCAATCTCACTGCTCCCAGGTCAGGGACTAGCCCCAGACCTCCAGTTCCAGCATAGAGCTAGGCCACCTGACCCAGACCAAGTGGAGTTCTGTACCAGCACACACACGCCATCCACCCCACGAGCAGGAACCTGCGAGCCAGCCTGTCCCAAGCTGGCTAAGGAGGGGACACCGGGCTTTAGTAACCTCCTTCTCCCTTGACTTCCTTCGAACCATTTTCTCTGCCTGCACCTTCGCAAGCACCTTCTGTGCCATTCAGAGTTGGCCCTACAGAGCTTATTGTCTGAGCACATAAGCCTTGTTGGAAGAGCTGGGCCTGCTGATCCCGTAAAGGAGGAGGGGATTTCCAAACTGCAGTTCTAGCCTCGCTCTGACCTCGGTGATTCTCACAGTGGGAGAGCGGCTTTTCCAAACTAACAATGCTTCTCCCTCCCCTGCCCTCCCCTCCTCACTTTTCAGCAGAGTTGAGCCTCTCTGGCCTACTCTCCCCTCCAAAGTGAGACCCATATTGTGGAATGAGAAATATTATGAACGGGAATGTGATACACAGTTGGCAGCAAGAAATAGATGAAGAACTACAATCTAAGAGCAGAATTGTCTGGTTTATATCAGTGGTTTTATTAGTCTTAATTAGAATTCTATGATTTTCCAGAGGTGTTTATTCAAAGGCCTTCTGGTCAAAAGAATGAGTGAATCTTCCATGTTGAAATCTCATGCCTTGAGATGGGCAAGCGAGGAGAAGGGTTGGCAGCTCACCTCAGTAGGTGGCTCCCTCCATGAGCTGGAAGCAGCCGGTCCTGCAGCAGTCAATCTGTATTTACGCTCCTTGTTAAAAGTACAGAATCATTTCCACGTATGTAACTTCAGGCACACTTTAGGCTGCCCTGGCCTCCAGTTTTTCCATTGATAAGATGAGGGGACTGGGTAGATGGGTCTGGCTCTGTGGATCACACCTGTCTGGGTAAGAAAGGACATGTGTGCTTGTTCTCTGGCCTTCTCACTGAGCTACCACCAAGCCACCAGTTTCTATCTCCTGGAAGGGGCTGGAACTTCCGCCCATCCAGCCTGAGCTTGACGTTGAAAATAGATGTTTGCTTCTTGACCCAGGAGAAGGGATGTCAAGCCAGGATTGAAAGGTTGCCTGATAGCAAGTGAGTGGGGCCTAGTAAACATTAGCACTAATTTGCATACTTCTGTTAATCAGAGGACAGCTTGGGTGCAAATCAGTTAGTTGGTTGCTTCGAGAAGGTCAGGGCTGCAAAGTGTCCATTTTGCTGCCATGGTCAAGATCTGGGGAGGAAGATCATTCCTGTTGTGGTTGTTGTTGTTCTTAGTTGCTACTGAATTGACTCAGACTCATAGTGACCCCATGTCCAACAGATCGAATCCATGCCCATTCCTGTGCCATCTTCGCCCATTGCTGCAGTCACTGTCGTTGGAATAAGTTCATTTCGTTGAGGGTCTTCCTTTCCTTCTCTGATCCTCCACCTTTCCAAGCATTGTTAGTTCTGCCTGAATTGTATGGAGCTCCTTAGGTGACAAAATGATTAATGCACTGGGCTGCACTGAAAGGTTAGACGTTCAAGTCCTTGTGCAGGTTCCTCAGAGGAAAGGCTTGCTGATCTACAGAGCGCAGTCCTCCATCTGGTCACCTTGAGTCAGAGGAGATGGGCTTTACCTACATCTTACAGCCTCACCATGGCCCCTTAGCCCTGACAGGACGTTTTCCACAGCCTCTCAGTGGGAGCGTCACTGATTGTAAGAATCAGGACAAGCTTTCATCTCTCATCCTTGGTAACTTCAGCAGGATCTGAGAGGGCTGGAAACCAAAAGCAATCCTTGAGCTGTAGCAAGTATGAGCTGGAAATGCAGGATTATAAACCAGCCTAGTCTATAAAAAGCCATCAAGTCCATTTCCTCCCCCCTTCACAGAGGAGGAAGCGGGAGGCACAGAGGGAATGTGATAGGTCGAGACTAGAACCCAGTTCCCCAGTGCTGAGCAGACACCAAGTTCACTGGTGGAGTCTGAGGTTGGTTGGCCTGGAGACTCCTTCTCTGGCTTAGATTCCTGGGCTTTCCTCTGGCCACAGGAAAGGGTTCCAGCTCTCAGGGCCTGTCCATCAGCCTGGGAACTGGTCCACATGGCTCTCAACAGGTTCCCTGAAGGCACAGACACTCGAGGCAGAAACCTGGGGGCCCAAGATTATGTTTCCAACAACCACATACTGGAGAGGTGGACACCCGCCAGGGCACAACCATCAGTCCTGGGAAGTGCTCAGAGCCTGGGGTTTGAAGCCCAGCCCAGGTTGCAGGGCCTGAGCTCAGGGCTCATCAGGGCTGAGGGAGGGGCAGGTGTGGTTGGCGATGGACCCTCCTTGGACTCGAGGCCCACCACCACCACCAACCCTCTACCAGGGGCTCTCAGAGAAGACAAGCGCATCCTCCCGTCCGCCTCTGCCCCTCTGTTAATATTCAATAGAAGTTGCATTAGGTCCCCGACCCTGCTAATACTGAGCAAACATTTGGAAAACATCATTCCGTGACTGAGCTCGCGCCGGGCACTGATAACACCAGCCTAACCTTGAGGAGCCCTCCCGGCAGCTGCTGACAACAGCCTTTTATTCTGCCCGCCTCTGCCACCGGCGCCCAGTGGGTGCGGACGGCCTGGCAGGCCCAGGAGTCACAGGAGGGTGGTGGCAGGCAGGGCGGGGTGCCAACCGGGGCAGGAGGGCTGAACTGTGAGCCGGGGTGACCAGTGGGGCCTCAAGAAAGAGGAGTCTTCTTACCTCCACTAAGAGAGAGAGGAAGGTTCCCTTTTAATCTCCACGGACTCCCAGGCTCAGGTGGGGGTATTTGGGATTTCTTCGGATGTCTTCTCAGCAGCTATGGATGAAATCAGGGGAAAGCTTAAGAACTGAAAAAGTCAATGTTCTCTTGCGAGATAAGAGACTGGTGAGAACAAGAACTGGTCTCATGCCACGTGTCTGCCCAGTCACGCCACAAATGTGTCCTGAGCACCTACTGTGTGCCAGGCACTGTTGTAAACACTGGGGCCACAGCAGGCAACATCTTGGTGTTTCTATTATCTGGATGTGGTTCCTGTTTTCTGGAATTTTTCCTTCTAGTGGAGAGTCAGACAGTAAACAAATGAGTAAGCAATTCTACCCTTAAAGACAAGGAGAAACCTAGAGGGGACTAAGGCGGCAGAGCCTGCGGGAGGAGGCGTCACATGAGACTGGGGGTATCTCAGAGTAGGGGGCCTTTGGCAAAGAGACATGAGTGGAGAAGCTAAGCATTATGGGAAAGAGTTCCCAGCATTGGGCACAGCAACTGCCAAGAACCCCAGGGGGGAGTAGGCAGCACGTAGATCAGAAAGTTGCTGTTGTGAGGTGTCACCAAGTGGATTTCTGACTCATAAAGACCCACGTGACGGAGAAGAACTGCCCCTGAGGGCTTCCTAGGCTGTAATCCTTACAGAAGCCGATTTCCAGCTCTTTCTCCTGTGTAGCATCTAGGTGGGTTTGAACTGCCCACTCTTCTGTTAGCAGTGAAGTGTTTAACCACCACACCACCAGGGCTTGTTGGAGGAAGGGCCAAGACAATAGGGTAGGGGGAGGTGAAAGATGAGGTCAGGGAGGAAACAGGATGGGACTTGGAGGGTCTGGTTGTTGTGGCGAAGGGTGTTATTATACCACCTCAGGCTCTCCACCAGAGTCAGCTTTTAACTGGATTCTTCTCTCATCTGGGGGGTCCTGGGTAGTGCAAATGGTTATTTCCCTCATCTGATAACTGAAAAGTTGGGCAGTTCAAGTCTACCCACAGGTGCTTCCAAAGGGAAATCCGGCCATCTACTCCTGAAATGCCAGCCATTAGAAGCCCTCTGGGCAGTTCCACTCTCACACAGAGGGTCGCCAGGAGGTTAACTTGACTCTGTGGCAACTGGGTTAGTTTGTTTTTTTTTCTGTCTTCTGAGGCAAGATGCTAGGAAACGAGTGAGGAGAGCCCTAGCCTGACCCCATGTGGGTAGGTGAGGTGCTGGGGCCCCGCTGAGGGGCGCAGAGAGGTACCAGTTGAGGGGACTGTTGTGTTGGGATCACTGACAGCTTTGGCGGTGGATTTGACGTGGGGCATGGGGCGGGGAGGTATCCAGGAAGACACCCGGGCTTTTCCCTGGAGAGATGGAAAAAGCTGAGGAGAGGAAGCCGGAGTGTCAGAGATGGGGAAACTGAAGCATGCCAGGAGGATGTGGTGCCCTCGAGAATGCAGGCGAAGGTCTCCAGTTACCTCCCACCTTCCAGCTTCAGCAAAGTCTCCTTGCACAGTGAGGCCACTTGAATCGGAAAGGGATGGAGTGTGAGCAGTGGACAGCCCACTGACGTCTTAGGTCAGGACTGGCCCGGATAGGGGTGAGCAATGGGACCTTGGTGGCCAGAGACCCAAGATCCCAGCACTTGGACGGCCTGCCAATGGGAATAAGGGGCCCTGCTTTGAACTGCTGTCCTTGAGAGGCTGAGACTACTGAAAGGGACCATCCAGGCGGGTAGGGGCTTCTGCCCGAGGTCTCTGTCCCAGAGCTCCGCGCTGGCTTCACCCAGAGTCATTTGTGTTGCTTGTTTCAGATACTTGATTTTTATATTATTATTATTATTCTTGTTCATTTGGATGGATGTTTACAAGTCATATTGGTTTTTCATTAGATCATTCATAGACATTTTGTTTTACAATATGAATTACAGTTGATTGAAGTCATTAACTGCACTGTTTATTCAGCCCCTGGTTGTCTGTTGCTCTCCCTCTCACTCCACTCACCTATTTATTAATTTCCACTCTCCTCCCTCTCCCTTTGTTTCATTACACTGGCATCTGGAAAGAAATGGGACTCTTTTATTAAAAAACAGGGGTTGAGAACCTCGGACCTAGTCAGACACCTTCTTCAATGTTCCAGGCTCACCATAAGCCTCCTTACTAAACCATTAGTCTCTTGGATGCCTCTCCTGATGAGTGGCTCACTCTTGGACACGTGTGTGTGTGTGTGTGTGTGTGTGTGTGTGTGTGTGTGTGTGTGTGGTGGGGGCACAGAGTAGAGTAGAGTGGTTCTGATGCTTGAAAACTTCTTCCACAAGCCAAGCTGGAAGCTTTCTTCCCTCATCCCCCCCACGCTGATGTAGGTGTTCTGCCCCTCCTGGGGCCATCCCTCCCACCCCCACGTGTGTTTCCTTTCCTCCAAGACAGGCTTGCATCCTCTCGCTGAGTCGAGCTCTCTCCCCGCACCCTTCACTCACGCTCTGTGAGCCACGTGGCCCCCTTCTAACCGCCTACCACCCCTGCCTCCTCACAGCTGTCCAGAACGAGCGGGACCGGATCAGCACACGCAGGTCCAGTTACGAGGACAGCAGCCTCCCCTCCATCAATGCCCTCCTACAGGCTGAAGTCTTGTCTCAGCAGGTATGGGGGACCCCTCCACTCATCTAGGGATCCCCCACAATAAAGAAGAAGAATAGGCTCACCCTTCTCCAACCCTGTTTAGCCAACCTAGGCTCTGGAGCGGGGGGGGGGGGCGCCTCTGATATCTAGAGGGGAAACTGAGTCAAGAGATTCTAAGTGCCACAAATGTCTCATGACCTGCTTTGTAGTAAAGGCAGGACTTGAACCCAGGTCTGGTGCCCTTGGGCACTTTCTGGTCTCTCTTCTGCCTGCATTTGTAGACTGAACAGGGTCTTAACTCTCCCTGAGGCCTGAGATGGACTTAGCATGGAAAGGACTAAAGAGTGGACAGAGGGGGCAAATGGGCCCAGCCACCCCTTGCTGTGTGACCTCAAACAAGTCACAGCCATCTCTGATATCACCAATGAGGATCGTAATGTCTACCCTTCTTCTCCCCTGGGGCCAAAGGGTTCTTCTGAGTTCTAGGGAGCTTGAGGAGGGGCTACAGGGGGGCAGGAAGTAAGGGAGGGCCCAGGAGAACCCCCTATCCCTCAGCTGTCCCTCAGCTGCCACCTTCTGCTCCTGTGCTTATTCCAGAACTGGGAGGGCGCCCATAATGCAGAAGCCCCCCCTTTCTCCAGACATGAAGGGCGCTGTGCAAAGGACAGAGTGTGAAGGGGGACTCGGCCATCCTTCTCCTTCTCTCTCTTTTCCAGATCACCTCCCCCGTCTCTGGGATCAATGGTGACATCCGGGCCAAGAAAATCGCCAGCATTGCTGACGTGTGTGAGTCCATGAAGGAGCAGCTTCTGGTGCTGGTCGAGTGGGCCAAGTACATCCCAGCCTTCTGTGAGCTCCCGCTGGACGACCAGGTGGGAGCCGGGGGCGGGGCCGGGGCACACAGGGGCCTGCTGGCCGGTCGTGGGTACAGCTGAGGGGCTGGTTTGATGTTATGTAGTGAAGCATGCCTGGTGTTCACGTGCCCAGGAGATGTTTGAATTGCTTTACAAATGTTAACCCCTTCAGATGACGACACTGTGAGGTAGATAGTATCATTTTCCTCATCTTAGAGGTGAGGAAACCAGGACACAAGAGAGAGATAAGTAACTTCTCAAGGCTACACAGGTAATATCCTGCAGAGCTGGGATTAGAACCCTGGCAGGCACGCTCCAAAGTCCACCCTCTAACCCCCGCACCTTGCAGCTCTCCTGGGGTGGGGGGTGGTGTCAGGAAATTTGAGCTTGAGCCCTGACTCTAAATCTGTGTTATCTTGGACAAATTACTTCCTCTCTTGAGCCTCTGTTTTCTTTTTTTATTATTTTTAATTTTTTGTGTGTGTACTGTCAAATCGGATCTGACTGATACAGGAGGAGATTGCTCGCTCCTCCTTCTTCAGCAGAGCATCTGGTGGATTCCAACCACATGCCTCTGGGATTGCAGTGCAGCTTCTTGCCACCAGGCCACCAGAGCTCCCTAGAGCCTCTGGTTTCTTGTCTGTAAAATGAGAACAGTTACTTACTGAGAACGGTCCACTATTATCTGAAAAGCACAAAAGCATGTCACTTGACATCACAGGCCATCCTCAGTGTTAGTTTATTTCTTGCATCCCACCAAGACGCGTTGTCTCAGCACTTTCTTTCCCAAAGTGCATTCACTGTGATATCAAGTGTCCCAGGGAAATAAGTGAGACTGGGTTGAGGAAGTCTGAAGACAGATGCGTTTGTGAGTTTCCACATACAATGGCTCCTGCACAGAGCAGTGTCTGAAAGGAGAGCTAGCTGACCTGGTCCCCATCCTGGCTCTGAAGGCAGCTTGGGCTGAAGACCTGGCCAGAAACCAGCTCCTGGCATATCTGCTGAGATGTTTTGGGCACATTTGCATAAGAGACTTACTAAGTACCTTGTCTGCAATTAAAGTTTCTGAGAAGTTCTACGGTTGGGCTGCTGTTAAACTTTGAGGAGCCCAGAGCTTCCCAAGCTCTTTGGTCCCCAGAGTGTACAGGAACATCTTGTGACATCCCACAGGCGGACACACAGCATGAATGCTGGTTGGCTGGCCTCTGGCCTCACACAGGGCTGGACAGGGATTCTCCTCCATTGGGGAGAGCTGGCGGGGCAGGGATTTGGGCCAAGCTGCCCCTGCAGCTCCCCTGCTGCTCGTGCTCTGTCCCCTGGCCCCTCTGTCGAAGAGTCTCCATTAATGTTTAATCCCTTCTCTTCCCTCCCAGGGGCTTATAGGGTAACAAGACACCCCCAAGCCGTACAATTGTTAACCTTGATTTCCCACCCAAACTCCCTGGCCAAGGCTCAGAGCATTCTCGGAGAGCAGTGATGGGTGGCCTGTAACGTGGGAAAATCATTAACATCCCCCCCAACCTGCCTGCCCACCCCCAGAATAGCCATATGTCAGAGCACTGACTGTTGGAACCAGGAGGTCCCGAGCTCTCCTCTTATGGACCAAAAGGGACTCATCTCCTTCAGGACGGATGGAGACATCTGGACAATTAGGAGGCACTGTCCTCCAAAGGACACCCCAGTTGTGTCACTGATGCCTCTGGAACCAGCTTCAAAGTTTGCTGATTGGCTGGTTGGTTGGTTGGTTGGTTGGTGTTGGACGTCAATCCCTGGAACTCTAGAAGGTTGGGGGTAGTTGGACAAGAGGACTGAAGTCGAGAAAGGCAAAAGGATTTGTCCAAGGTCGCAGAGCAAGTCAGTTCCAGAGCTGGGCTCCCAGGCCAGGTCTCGAGCCTCTGGAAGAAGAGCCCTAACTGGCGCCTGACATATAATAGATGCTCAACAAACAGCTTTTGCTGCCCCTGGGCCAGGTCATGGAGAATCTCTCCCAATTCCTTTCATTTTCTGTCATCCTCACTTACAAAGCTCTAACTATACAGGGATAAAGACAGGTGGCTGTCCAGGAAGAGCCAGAGGCGGAGAGAGAATCAAGAGTTTGTTCATTCATTCAACAACTCTCCCATTCACGCATTATTTTGTGTTTGTTGAAGGCTTGCTGTGTGGCAGGGTCCCTGGAGTCCTAGAGGGGCCTTCTCAGTCTTCCCATCCAAAGCATCCCTCCTGCCTCATTGCTGTCCAGCTCACCACCCTTACCTCCGTCCTCCCTCCATACTCCTTGTCCCTCCCTCTTCTCCTCCCTTCTGGGCTCTCTCCCTCCTCCTTCTCTTCTTCCTCTCCTCCCTTCTCCCTGCCCCTCTCTCTTCCTTCATTTCTACCTCTTTTCTCTCCTTTCTTGCATGCCTTTATTTAGCTCTATCAACCTCTATTCTATTTATTGTTTTCTGCTTCATTCTCTTCTCCATGCATCTCTCCCTTGAACAGAAGCACCATGGAGCTGCAGGCCTCTGGCCTTGTTTTATTTACCATTGTGTCTCTGAGCGCCCTGAATTTGGTAGTCACTTAGCATGTGGTGATTGAAAGAATTAAGTGGATTCGTAAGCAATATAATTTTACTTGTGTGACCTGCTTAAACAAAACTCTCTAAATTCCTTGACCTCAGCTTGCAGGTAAAACCCGTGAGAGGACCAGCTGGTGTTCATGCAAACTTTAAAATGGTTCTGGAAGGGCGGCTGCTGTCCTGTAAACTGGATTGGTTCCACCTTAGAGTTCGGTCTTCACAAACTATACCTTGTCCCCCCTACAGGCAAAGGTCTGTCAAGCTGAAGACCACAAAGACCACAGCTTACACCTTAGCCTGGGGAAGGGCATCTTTGAGACCAATAATTTCCTCAGAATTCCTGTAACTCTCTGAGTCTCAGGGTCCTACAGCACCAAATGGCAGCTGTTCTGTCCTGATCTGCAGGACCATGATCTTCTCCTCTCCTCTCCTCTCCTCTCTCACACATACAGACACACAGACTTGACTGGGAATCTTGCTACATGCAGAGCTTCCTGGGCCCCACTCTATACGTAATGGAACCAGAATCTCTGGTAGCAGGACCACAACATCCCTAGTTTTATAACATATGTTCCATCATTTTCTGTAGCCAGTTCATGGGTAAAAGTTCAGAACCCACCAATTTAGAACTTTGAAGGGATGACGTCTTAGCTCCTTTGGAGCATCTGAAAACCTTTTAGTTGCTTCTGTTTTCGCCATTTACAGACCCAGCCCTCAGGGGAATAGCAAGTGCCTGTGGGCCCAGCAGAGCTAGGGCAGGGTCAGCCCAGGGGCTCCTGGCTCTGAGCCGCATGGCCTTGCCCTGCCAGGGTTCTCCTCGGGCAGTGTCCTCAGGGCCCTGGTTCAGGTAGGGAAGGAAGGCAGCAGTGCTGATGTCCACGTTATTGTCCGGGGAGAAAGAGGCAGGCAGGGAGCATTATGGTAACCTGGTGGCCACTGAGTTGGAAGCAGCAGCCTCCCAGGGATGCAGACACCAGGACACTGTCACTTCTCTCTACCAGGTGGCCCTGCTCAGAGCCCACGCCGGCGAGCACCTGCTGCTTGGAGCCACTAAGCGATCCATGGTGTTCAAGGACGTACTGCTGCTAGGTGAGGAGTTGGTCTGACCTGGACAGGGCTCTTTGGGGTACAGCCAGTGAGGTACACTCCCCAATATGGGAGAATACCAGGGGGACAGGCAGGGGGAGGGAGTCGGCTCAGAACAGCCTTGTCCTAAAGTCTATGAATTGAGGACTCAGCTCTCAACTGAATACTTCCACCCCCTCAAGATGCAAGGGATTAAAGTTTCCCAGCATTAAAAATAATAGGACACTCTGAGAAACAATAATGAGGAAGCATTGGGCTGTTAACCAAAACGTTAGCAGTTCAAACTCATCCAGGAGCTTTGCAGTAGAAAAGCTTGGCCGTCTGTAAAGGTTACAGCCAATAAAATCCTGGGGGACAATGAATGAAAATGTGCATGCAATGAAAAATTGACGAGTCAGGTCCTAACAACGATAACAGAACTACAGTTAAAGCCCAGCCGGGCTCATCCCTGAGTTCACGGTGCCTTCATGAGCTTTTTAGAGTGGGCCCAGAATGGCACATACCACCTGTGCCTCACAGCATGCTTATTTCTTTTTTAAAATATAAGGCATACTCTGTGCCAGGTACCATTCCAAGAACTCTATATACGTTGACTCATTTAATACCAACACGTTACAAGTTGAGCTGTATAGTTTATCCCATTTTGCAGATGAGAAAACTGAAGCACAGAGAAGTTAATTGAGTCATTTGCCCACAAGTGCCCAGTGAAAGAGCCAGGCTTCAGTCTGGGCAGTTCAGCATCAGAATCTGAGCCCTTAACCTTTATGCTTGGTGCCTCCTCCCATGTGAGCTTTGATTGTCATCAGTCTTTTGAGTTGTGCTAAGGAGTGGAGCTTGGACAACATGAAAGGAGTCCTAGAAAGCAGGCTCCAACCTCAGCTGGCTGACTTCAGGGAGCTTACCCCCCTGATCCTGGCCTCAGTTTCCTCATCTGTCAAATGGACATGACAAGTCCCCATGGCTGCCTACCTCTATGGTGCTGGCTACATTGCTGACTGCAAAGCACACACCTGGGCAAAATCAAGACAGTGGTAAAGGGAAGGGTGACCGCCCCTCATCACCTCCTTCCTCACCCACCAGGCAATGACTACATCGTCCCCCGGCACTGCCCGGAGCTGGCCGAGATGAGCCGTGTCTCCATGCGCATCCTCGACGAGCTGGTGCTGCCGTTCCAGGAGCTGCAGATCGATGACAACGAGTATGCCTGCCTCAAAGCCATCATCTTCTTCGACCCAGGTACAGGCCAGCCTGACCTTCTGTCATGCTTCTCTTACGGGTCACATGCACAGAGTTCATCACCTCCTTTCACACTTCAAACTGAGAAAAGCTGTTTAACTGGTCCCATTTAACAGATGAGGACAACTGAGGCTCAAAGAGATGGCATCAATGTCCCTTGTGGTCAGTAGTGACAGACAGGGCCACAGCACTCTTCAGGTTTTCCAGGTTGCTTGTGATGTAGACTTGGGAGGGTGAAGCCGAGCAGGCTTCCTGGAAGAGGTGAACTCTAAGCTGAGATCTCAAGATGACGAGAGGTGGGAGCTAGGTGAAGGGATGAGGAAGGGAAGACTGTTTCAGAAACAGCGTGTGTTGAGGTTGGGACAGTGGGACCTCAGCTGCTGGACCTGCCAGCATAACACAGGCCATATACTTTCCTTGCTCTGTGCCTCAGTTTCCCTCTGTATAAAATGAGGAGGTTGTTGGGTGCTCTTTTGAGCATGTTCGTGAATCCTATCCCTCTATTCCAACCCCCTCTCAGTTCTACCCTATAGGAAATGTGGCAGAAACCTGATTCTGTCTGAATCTTGTGTTGTGTGCTGTTGAGTCGGGACCAACCCATAGCTGGCCCTCCAGCAGGTTTTTAGAGGTTGTTAATCGCATGGGAGGAGATTGCCCATCCACCTCCTGGCTAGGGAGCCACTTAGTGCTAAGATGCCCTGGCGCTGAGGACCTTGAATCCTCAGCCAGCCCAGCCAAGAACTTGCTATGTGATTTTGGACCATTAGGTACCCCATCGTCTGAGCCTCCTAAGTTAGGGTCCTGACTCCTCAGACCCACCACCTGGGTCCCCTTGCCCAACCTTGCCCACCTCCTCCTGTTGCAGATGCCAAAGGGCTGAGCGACCCGGGCAAGATCAAGCGGCTGCGTTCCCAGGTGCAAGTGAGCCTGGAGGATTACATCAACGACCGCCAGTACGACTCTCGAGGCCGCTTCGGCGAGCTGCTGCTGCTGCTGCCCACGCTGCAGAGCATCACGTGGCAGATGATCGAGCAGATCCAGTTCATCAAGCTCTTCGGCATGGCCAAGATCGACAACCTGCTGCAGGAGATGCTGCTGGGAGGACCGTGCCAGCCCCAGGAGGGGCTCCGAGGTGGGCAGCAGGGCAGGGACGAGAGCTTGCGGGCGTAGCTCACCTACCCAGCTCCACTGCTTCCTCCCTGGGCGGCCGGGAGCAGGTCACATCCCCTGTCTAAGCTTCAGCTTCCTCTTCTGGAAAATGAGACAATGGTCCATTTGTTCAGCCGCTGACAGTCTAGCATTGCTAGTCCTTGTTATAAATGATGAATGCTCAGCAGAGAACTAGATCTCTGTGCTCCCGGAAATGGTGTGTATGTATGTGTATCAGAAGGGCCGTTGGGAACCAGTCTATAAAGAGCAAAGTAACTACAGATTTTTATAATAAATTGGTGGAGGGAGACCTTCTTAAAGTTGGGACTTTTATTGTAAGACCTGATGGATAAGGATGAAAGGATACAGAAAAGTCACACACACGCACCCCCAAAACAGCAAACTCATTGCCATCAGCTCGTAACTGACCTTCCAGCCTGTTTCCAGAGGCTATAATCACATGAGAGGAGACTGGCCATCTTTTTCCATCAGAAAAGCTGGTAGATTCAAACCACCTAACTTTGGGTTGGCACCATGATGCCTTAACCACTAGGCCACCAGGGCTCCTGATAGAAAAGTCAAGAGGCGAATATTCCAGACAGAACTGATAAGTATTAAGGGCCTGTGGCATCAGCAGCTTATGTACTGAGAAAGGCAAGACTGTGAGACACAGACGAAATTGGACCAAAAAAAAATCATTAGCATATGGTGGTAGGCTATGGTCAGAATCTTTTGTTTGCACTGTGGAAACTGTTAGACAAATGATAATCAGCCTGCTGTTTTCAACAGATGACTCTGTTGGCTGGAGAGTGGACTTCAGGGACTTAAGAATGGAGGCAGGAGACCCTTAGGACATTACTGTTGCTGACCAAGTAAAGAATGGGATAAGGCTGGATTGAGACATGATAGTGGAAATGGAGTAGCACAGATAATGTTGAAGATATTTTGGAGGGAAAGCTCACAGGATTTGCTCATCAGTTGTATGTGTGAAGTGAGGGGAAGAATCAAAAAAATGACATCCAGACTTTTTCTTTGAATGACACGAATGGTGGAAGAGTTATTCCATAAGGAAGCTGAGCTTTGGTGGTGGTGGCTGTGTAGAGAGGGGTCGAGAGATCCAGTATGGGCTTTAGTTAAGGCTGGGATGATGTCCAAGTTGAGTTACATAAGATACCAAGGAGGCAACAAGAAGTATGAATTTATTGCTCAAACCTAAGCTCAAAGTTCAGAGTGAAAGCCAACTCCATGGTTTTCCAATGTTTCTGAAGGCAGAGAGGAGGCACTGTTGAAGGAGACAGAGGCAGACTAGCTGGGAGTTAGGAGAAAACCCACGAAAGTGCTGGAGTTTATAATCCATGAGCAGCACAGTTTCAAACAGGGATGTAGCAGAGAAAGACAGAGACCCACTGGGTTTGGCAACCTGGAGACACTTGGTAGTTTTATAAAGATCTGAGTCAGAACGCACTAGGAATGCAAACCAGAAGGGGAGCGTTCCAAAGCCATTGAAAAGGACATTGGGAAATGACAGAAGTGGAGACAGTGAGCGTAGACAATCTTCTGTGTATATTTTGTTATGAAGGGGAACTCTGAGGGAATTGAAGATTCTTGCAAAGACAAGCGCACAATTGAAGGCTGTGGAATCGAGGCAGAATTAAAAGGAGAATAAAGACGGGTGATAGATGTGTACAGTGAGGCCCGCAAGCTCAGTAGATTTGAAGAATTTCTGCAGTGACAGTACTGGGTTAGGTGTGTTCTGGATGATTCATTGTGGGGACAGTCATGTACATTGTGGGATGTTTACTAGTCTCCCTAGCCTCTTAGATACCATAACTTACTCCAGCTGTGACAATAAAAAAATGTCTCCAGGCGGTGCCAAATGCCTCTTAGGGGGAGAAAATGACAAACTCACCCTTAGTTGAGATCCTGGTTAGAGTGTGGCCACAGACTAGATGGCAAGCGGTAGGGCAAAGGAAAAGAGAAATTTGGTCAAGTAAAGAGGGTACGGTGTCTCTGGGTCAACCATGGGGGTCTTGAAGTAGTCAGAGCAACCGAAGCAGAAGAGATGAAGACGACGGTGAGCTGGACTGAATGGGAAGTGGAGATTATCATGCAGAACTCTCAGAGGGTCTCCTCAAATGACATGAGACTCAAAGGAGCTAGAAAACAAGAAATTATTATAAAGAGGTAGGAATTCTCACCTGGCCTCTGCTTCTAGCCCTTCCCCATTCAGTGTTTATTAAGTGCTTTGTGTATGCAAGGCAAGTGGGGATCTTACTGGTGAACAAGAAAGAGGAAGAATCCTCCCTGCATGGAACTTAAATAGACAAATTATCACTGAAACAGTGAATTACAAGTGATAATACCTGCTCTGATGGAAGAAGATAGGGTTCAATGGGAATGTGATTGGATTAGATAAGGCAGAACCTCTGTCAGGAAGTCACATCTGACTGCTTGGTTGGCAGAGAAGTAGACAGACCACAGGTTTAAGGAGGAATAAATAACAGGGCTTGGTAATAGTGGGTGTAGAGATGAGTTCAAGACTGCCCAGGTGGGTGGCCCGGGTAACCTAACTGTCTCTCGAGGTGCATTTGGATATGCTTCCAGCTCCTCCCACTTCCCCATTCTCATCAAAGCCTCATTGAGCTCCTGGGCACAGTCAGGCCATTTGAATGAAGGTGAATGGGAAGTGAAGAGGGCATGGCGTCGTCAGTCCCAGGTGTGGACGCAGTAGGAAGTAGTTTCTGTCGCCCCAGAAACGCAATAAGGAAGGTGTCCCTGCGGATTCCCAGCAACCTCACCTGTGAGCCAGCAGCCTTGATGGTCATGAACTTGATGGAAATGAACTGAAGCCCCCACGTGGTGCCATAGTGGAACCAGCACGTGCAGCAGCATTTTACTGGCCCCAAGGCACTGCTAGCTATGACAGAGTCTCTCGGTCAAGGCCTGTTGATGTTTTGGTTTAGACAATTCTTTGCATTGGCGATAGTCATGCGCACTGTGGGTCACAAAGGAGCGCCCTTGACCCCCACCCATTAGATGCTAGGAACGTATCCCTGCCCCACGCTCACCTCCAACTGTGGCAGACTTAAATGTTGCCGGGCATTACCAGGTAACCACCACCGGGACAAAACTGCCACCAGTAGAGAACCATCATCATCTGATAACTCGTTTAATTCTCCTTTCAGCTCTGTGCATATGGGTTTGTTACACATTCGTTGTCATTGAGATGTGCCTTGTTTCCTCTTCGGTAAAATGGGAACATAACGGTGTCTATCCTCTAGGGTTGTTGTGAGAACTGAATTCTTTAAAACACAAAAGTTCTGTAAAACAGTTTCTGGTGCATACATGACAGGGATTCTACAATTGTTAGCCATTATTGAAACAAGTGTCCTTTAGAGGCCTAAAATCCCAATACTATCATTACTGTATTTGTGAATATGCTGTATCACTTAATCACACTCTGTATGATTTTATTACTTTCTAATGACTTTTCTTGATCAGCTGTTGGATTCCAGATATTCTGACTGAACCTCAACGAAAAAATAAAAATACACTTTTAATAACCATCCACAGATATAATGCTCAAAGACAAAGGAAGGAAAAATAGATTATAAATACATTATGTGATCCAGAAGAAAGGAAGATTTGCTTCCTACTGGAAGTGGGAGGAGCAAGAGAGATTTCCCTAAAGGAGGAAATCTCTGAGCTGGGATTTGGACTTGTAGCTTGGGATGGGGGATCTTTAGGGAAGAGTTCTCTAGTGGAAGCAATGGCAAAGATCCTAGAAATAGGGCCACAGGTGCTACGTAAGTAGGGCTATGTGGCTGAGCAAAGGTATGAAAGATGAGGCTGGAAGGTTCTTGAGACCAAATGGTTGAAAGGCTTGGATGTTAAGGAGATCTGAAAGCCATTGGTTAATATTCTAACACTACATGCAATCAATGCCCTACTTAAACAATTTCGGAGTTTCCTTATCTAATCCTTTCCAATCCCTTGTGCTCTCCTGGTTTGTGAAGCCTCTCTCTGCATAGGGATCATAAGCTCTACTTATTCTTAGCTCAAGAATAAATCACTATTAATGAAGCGTGGGCAAGTTAATTGGACATATTTGAGGAAGATGATGCCTCAGCGTCTGTGGTCCTCATCCCTCTGTTCTAACTGGGCTCTCTCTTCACCTGCAGGGTCCTCCAGCGATGCACCCCATACCCACCACCCCCTGCACCCTCACCTGATGCAGGAACACATGGGCACCAATGTCATTGTTGCCAACACAATGCCTGCTCATCTCAGTAATGGACAGATGTGTGAGTGGCCCCGTCCCAGGGGGCAGGCAGGTGGGCAATCTGAGGGTCTACCTACAAAGGGGTGAGGATGGAATCTGAGAGAGGGGGCAAGAGAGGGTAGGTTGGGTCTAGAAAGTGAAAACTAGGATGCATCAGTGCTCTGCTATAGGGTAGAGAATGGAGGATGAGATTGCTGATTGGTGAAGGTGTTTGTTTATTCAGTGAGGCTGTCTACTGGGGTGCCGACAGTCTCCACGGAGAACAGCTGTTTGGGGCCGAGGCAATCCACACGGGTAAGACTGCTACTGGGTGAAGATAGTCATTGAATGAAAATTTGCCTAGAAGATATTGTCCATGAGGTAAAATTGTTCATGAAGTAAGGCTGCCTTTTTAGCAAGAACATCTACTGGACCAGACTATCCAGGGGGGCGGCAATAGCCACGAGGCTACACTGCTGTTCTCTTGGGTAAAATGTCAGAAGAGTGAGTTTGTCGCTTGGTCAATTTCTCCAAAGAGTAAAATTATCAATGGGATGAGGTGGTCCCCTGAAATTGTTTCATTTCATAGAGTTTGTTCTTTGAGAAAGTTGTCCATTGAGTGAAGCTGTCAGTGGGATAATATTGTCTATTAAGATGAAAGTGGATCATTGGATCAAAGATACTCTCTAACGGGGTAGGACCGATTAGGTTTTTTACACTAATCTCTTAAATACTAGAGAAATAGGTTTGTTTGTTTTTTTTTTTTAGTCAGTCAATCCGACCCTTGGGTCTCATTTACTGTTGCTTTTTATTGTCTAGCAAAAGAACGTCCCTGTCACATGTCCCATCACCTTTGGGGAGAGTCAGATTGGGCCCTGGGTTGGGAGAAGCAGCCCACACCTTCACTGTAGATGGTGGAGAGAGCATGGAGGTTAGTGAAGTTTGAACAGAAGGCTCTGGCCACCAAACCCGCCCCAGCCACAGCCTTTTAATCTCATAAAGTTTAATCTGTGTGATGTAGGTTCAAGTGGTAAGAGCCTTTAGGAGTTACCTACTTCAAGTCTCTGAGTTCATAGTGATGAAAACAAAAGCTCAGGAAGGGGAGAGAGCTCTCCTGTCAATCTTTACTTGTTTGAAGGTTTGGAATTCTGAACTGTCCTTGTCTCTCTGTCTCTCCAGCCACCCCTGAGACCCCTCAGCCTTCACCGCCAGGTGGTTCGGGGTCTGAGCCCTACAAGCTGCTGCCGGGAGCCATCACCACGATCGTCAAACCCCCCTCTGCCATCCCCCAGCCAACCATCACCAAACAAGAGGTCATCTAGCAAGTCGCTGGGGGTCGGGGGCTTTGCTGGCTCCCCCCAGCCCCCTCAAAGACACCTGATAATCACTTGACCACAGCCAAGGAAGGCATGCCAACAGGCCAGTCCCGGAGCAATAACGGAGAGACTTGGGCTGAGGGGTACCTTCTCTGGCCAGCCTTCATCCCCTGCTCTGGATGAAGGGGCTTTGACTCGGGGAGACTGACTGCAAAGTCTCAGCTGCCGTGGACAGCTTTTCTCATGCAGAAGCCACTGCTTTCACCTTCACCCATCCCCACCCCCGGCTTCTTCCCCTCAAAGGACAACTGTGTGGAGACAATCTGGAACCTTCTTCCAGCACCGTTCTCTTCTCTCTTTCCAGGCACAGCACCCTTTGAGGCTGAGTCAGAGGGGGGCACCTTACCCTCCCAGTTCTGGCAGCCCAACTTCAAAAGCTCCTCCCCTCTGTTGTCAGTTTTCTCAACAACAGCAAATCGAGTTGCTGTTGTGTTGGTTCTGACCTGTGCTGGCCTCATGTGTGCCAGAGTAGAACTATGCTCCGCTGAGCTTCAGGGGCTGACTTCTCAGAATCAGATCACCAGGCCTTCCTTCTGAGGCACCTCTCAGTGACCTCAAACCTCTCAGCCACCAAGAGCATTAAACGTCTGCACCACCCGGGGGGGTGGGATTCCACTTTTTTCTCAAGCCTCCTCTCCAGAACCCTAGGAAAGCGCCTAACTAATTCCTCCAGTCCTTCCAGGAACGTGTCTAAAGATTACGTGGGGTCCACACAATCTAGGAGCCCATTGCTCTACCTCACCTCACCCCACATCCCTTCTTCAAGGAGTTGGGTAGGTGTTTGGCGTCATGACTAGAGGCTTCCAATGGTGAGAGAACCATCCAAGGTTGACAACTGCAGTAGCGCTTGGAAGGAGGCTGGGATGTTAGAAAAAGCCTGTTTGAAAGAGGTGATGGAGGAGGTGAGACAGGACATTCCATGGGTGAGATCACACCCTGGACAAAGGCTGGAGGGCAGAAGAACGGTGTGGGAAGAAGATAGTGAAGAGACCAGGCTGTCTGGAGCAGGGAGAGCTTGCTGGAAAGCCTTGAGTGCCAGACTGAGGTGTTAGACTTGAAGCCATGAGTAACTGGGTTCTCAGATGAAGACAGCCGTCTTACAGAGCTTTGTGCTCGGCAGCCCAGATTTCTCGACAGCTGCTTCTGTGCATCCAAGTTGAACATAGTCATTGAGAACTTCAAGCCAAAGCCTCTATTTGATTGGACATAGGGTCACTCTGAGCTGTAATTGACCTGACAGCACCAAACAACCACAACAATAGAAGTTAATGACGGATTCAGACATATCAACGCTTGCAGGAATACGGCACAGGATCAGGTCACGTTTTTTGTTCTGTTAACAAAGTTAAGTCATAACTTGGAGCCAACTCCAAAGCAGCCCATCAACAGGAACAGAGGGGTCCAGGGAGAGAGGGAACAGGAAGTCAGACAAAATCCACAGGATGAGTTACAGTGTAGGGGTGGAGAGGAAAGAATGAGGAACGAAGGAACACACACACACACACACACACACACACACACACACACACACACAGAGGAATTCTATTAAAGAGGAATGATGCCCCAGGGCCAGGAACTCTCTGAAGGCCTTTGACTCTGACTCGCATCATCTAATTTAGCCTCTCAATGGCCCAGGAATCACTACAGAAGATAAATGTGACCTGCTGGCAGTTAAGTGGTTTTTCTGGAGCTTACAGAGGTAGTAAGTAGCAGAGAGGTCTGGAACGCAGGCCAAGTGCCCCATCAGAATGGAAGGCTGAGTATCCTCTCTAAAAGCTCCTCTGTCCTTTCTGTCTGCTTGACCATCTCCTTCATCAGGGGAGCTCTAGTAACCTAGTCTGCCTTTTTTTGCTAGTGTGTGGTTCAAAGCTACCACAGCTCCTTGGTAGACAGATAGGTAGTCTTTTTCTGTTGTGATTTCCAGCCAGGGGAACCTGTTGGAGGGTCCCCATGAGTTGGAATTGACTGACGGCAATGAGTTGAGTTTTCCATCAGCCTCAGAAGCCACCCAGGCTCCCTCCTACAACTAAGACTGTCTCCAGGTTGTATCAAAATCCATTTAGGATCCAGGATCCTCTTTGCTGATAAGCACTGAGGGCCTCTTTTTACTCTTCCCTCCCCAAGTATTGGAGAGGGAGAGCAGGAGGCTGGGTCTTGGGAGTCGGCCTGGTAGCCAGCAGGCGGGACAGTGGTGATGAGAGGAGAGGACAGTGGTGATGAGAGGAGAGGACAGTGGAGATAAGGGAGAGGACAGTGGAGACGGGAGGCATGCGAAGGGTACAAGACCTGCCTTTGAAAACAAAACAAACAAAAAAAGACCTGCCTTTGGGAGCACCACTCAACGTTTTTCCCAGAAACATGGTTAATGTTCCCAGAAGGAACAGTTAGCACCTCACTTCTTCAGAATCTTGGTGACTGGGGAAATTCTGGAAAATACTACTGGCCAACAGGAATAACAGAGCTGTGTCCTAGGACTGGAAGCATGGTCAGGCAGAAGAGGAAACCGCTTCCCTGGCTGTCTAGCCCACCCCAGGTGTGACCTACCTAGCAGATGGAGAGTGCCAGGCACCATGTGTCCAGGAGAAATCTCCCCATCTCCAGAGCTGTCAGGGCAGATTCCCAATCTGGGGAGAGACTGTTCCCTTCTCAGGGCTCGCAGTCATCCTCAGCCACCCCTTACTCCTCCAAAATTTCCAGCCGTAGGGCTCAGATTGGTCTGGGGGCAAGGCAGAGATGCTACAATCATCTGCTCCGCATAACTACTTCCAATCTTCATTCCTTCACCACCAACAATTACTCAGACTTCAGTCACGGAAGCTAAGTCAAGATAAGAATTTTCTATGGCACAAAGTAGGGGGTGTGTGAAGGTGGCTTCTCAAGTCTAACAATCTTCTGAAACAGTTCTCGTCCTAATTTTGCCTCTTTTGGGGGAAAAAAAAATAAAAGGATGGGAGACACCCAGCATGGGCCCCACAAGGCTTCTATCTATCTACTCCCCGTTCCCATGCAGAATCCACACAGCTTTGCCTTTGATAGTGGACAGAGGAAAGAATTAGAAATGGATGTGGCTGGTTTCTTGTGATGACCAAGCCTATTATTGCTTTTGCCAAGTTGTTCTGTGATCTACTGTGATCAAACTAATCGTGAGACTCACATCAGGTTGGAGGATCCTGTCTTGTCAGACCACTGAGCATCTCCGTGTGGGTGGGACTGTCCTCAGCTTCCACGCGGACGCCTGCAGGTCCCAGTCACGGCAGCCCAGCAGGGCAAAGAAGCAACCAACATTTCTTACTTGTGTATATTTTGACAAAAAATTTTCTAAAACAAAAATAAATGGCACGTGTGTTTTCTAACTCCTGGGATCAGCGTTCTTTTCTCCTTTCAGGCTTTTACAGACAAGAATGAAACTGGTTGTCCAATTCCTTAGCATGTTTAAACTGTGCTTTCCTATTTGTAATTGGTTTTCAGTCTTCAAGAGGTAAGCTGCTTAGACATTATTGTTAGCCCTCACTTTATAGATGAGGAAACAGAGGCTTAGGGGGAAGTTATTTTCTTTAAGAGGTTTCAATGAGAATCTAACTCAGGTCTCTGAATTGAGCGAGAATGAGAGTTGATCCCCTCTGCTGAGGAGGCGCACAGGGCGCTACAAAGCAATAGAAGGATCTAGGGAAATGATAGGAGGGCTCAAGAGGTTGTCAGCTTCCAGTAGAGTCCAAGAAAGAGCCCTGCACAGTCACCTCCAGGGACCTATGTCAACCACGTTCACCTACCAAGAGCGGCAGACGCGATACATTTCCAAAAAGCAAGAGTTGTGGTTTGGGGCTTTGGTTCTGTTTTTGCTTTTGTTTGTTTTGTTATTTGTTTTGCTTTAGTTTTGCAAGTGTTTTTTTTTTTTTTGCAAGTGTTATTTTTAAAAAGCCTTCCCAGCCCTCTTTGTAGTTACTCTGCTTTTGTGAACCTTGGCCATTAGAGATCATGGCCTTAGCACCGTCACTTGATGGTGTGCTGATGTCAGCGCTCCTGAGAGCTAGTTGTTAGTTTTCTTCCTAATTCTGTGCTTAGTGGGACCATATGCATCACTGTCAATGACAATGGCTACAAATCTTGGACTTTTCCCCCAGAACATTCACTGATGGGTGTAAAAGGGGCTTTACTTATGGTGGGGCTGTGGTACCCCTAGTATAAGACACATGTCTGCAATATTCTAGACATGGTTGAGCTGGATGGCCCTTTAAGCACTTCACAAAAGGACAGGGAGGGGTTTTGATCTATGAGTCAAACATTTTGGCAATCAGTGTACCCCTGGGCAGATCTCTCTACCTCTCTACCCCTCATCTGTAAAATAAGAATGTACTTACCTATTACACTGAAGGTTTTTAAATTTTTTTTTTAAAGAAAAGATAAAAGAATGCACATGTTGCAAGGAGGGACCAGTCCTTGGAGAGGGACATCATGCTTGAGAGGGTGGGGGGACAGCACAAGAGAGGAAGACCCTTGATGTGATGGATTGACTCAGCGACTGAAGTAATGGGGGTAGGTGTGTCCGAGACAATCAGATTGGCTTGGGGTAGGGCAGGGTTCAGAGCTATTGTACATAAGATCGCTATGAGTTGCAGGCAATTTAATGGCACATAACAATAACAACTTAGCTCAAGAGACAGGATTAAATGGGATGACATGATAGCTAACCATGAGAGCTACATACTGATCACACACACACACACACACACATCACCGTAGTTCCCCGCATCTACTGGGACTCATGAGTAGAAACTCTTTCTCGAGTACCATATAAGTAAGAGGTTAACCATGAACTTCTCCAACCTCAAGAGCACCCATTAGCTTCCTGTCTGACCCTGGGGTCATTCTCATCTTCCCCTGTCACTCTCCTCAGCTCATCAGAGTCAGGAAATGTTTTGCATAATGCAATGGAAGCCTTGTCCACG